GATGCTGGAGTCTGAGATAACAAGGTGTGGAGCTGGAGGAACACAGCCGGCCAGGCAGCATCAGAGGAGCAGGAAAGTTGATGTTTTGGGTCAGGACCCTTCTTTCTGAAGAAAGGTCCCGACCCGTAACGTCAGCTTTCCTGCTCCTCTGATGCTGCCTGGCCTGCTGTGTTCCTCCAGCTCCACACTGTGTGATCTCAGACTCCAGCATCTGCAGTTCTTACTATCTCTGAGGAATATGTTCAAGCTTTTATAAATGATCCAGCAACTTGGGAACCCTACAGTTCCCTACTGTTTCTGTCATGGTAATGCCTCGGCCAATCAGAATTGCTTGCCAGCCAATGAAATCCTTATATCCCGTACTATAAATTGTTGTGATTGTTTGAAATTTGGCATTCTTGTGTTTTGTCCTGATTAGTGCAAGATGAAAAGCTTTGTCAACGCATCTGTCTTTTCAGCAAGATTAATAAGTTAAAGTTGCTAGATATAATACAAATTGACTCTCTAACAGTAGGTTTTTAATACCGATTAATCTTTCAATGCAAATATTGCAAGTATATTAGAAGATTTTAAACTTTCTTTATATTACCGCAGTAACCACTTGTATTTAAAACACAGCCATGACATAAGAAAATGTTCTAAGATGCTTCAAGGAGCAGGGCAAAGTAAAATTAGGCAGCGGGATATCATGGCAAGCAGTCAGAAACACAGAAACATAGAAGATAGGAGCAGGAGGCCATTCGGCCCTTCGAGCCTTCTCCACCATTCTTTACAATCATGGCTGATTGTCCAACTTAAGAGCCTAATCCTGCTTTCTCCCCATAACCTTTGATCCCATTCGCCCCAAGTGCTATATCTAGCTGTTTCTTGAATACCTTCAATGCTTTGGCATCAAATACTTCCTGTGGTAATAAATTCCACAGGTTCACAACTCTTTGGGTGAAGAAATATCTCCTTATCTCTGTCCAAAATGGTCCAACCTGAATCCTCAGACGGTGACCCCTGATTCTCGACACACCGACCATCGGGAATACCCTCCCTGCATCTACCCTGTCCAGATCTGTTAGAATTTTGTCAGTCTCTATGAGATTTCCCCTCATTCGTCTGAACTCCAGCGAAAACAATCCCAACCCAGTCAATCTCTCCTCATATGTAATAGAGGCAGATGTTTAATGGTGTCTTAAAGAAAGATGGAAGTAGACATGGAGGAGAGAGTTTTAGGGAGAGAATTGCAGAGGTTCAGGAGACCAGAGTTAGATGAGCACAAATCTCTCAGAGGATTGTAGGACTAGTTAGGTAAAGTGAGCCGGGAGGAATTTATTCTCTCAGAGGCATGTGAGTCTTTGGAAATCCTTGCCACAGAGAGCAGGAGGGACAGAGTCCTTCTGTACATTTAAGGATGAGATAGATAGATTCTTGATCGGTCGCTGAGTCAAGGGAAAGGGCAGGAGAGTGGATGTGAGGAATGTTGGATCAGCCAGATCTAGGCCTGAACAGCCTAGTTCTATTCCTTTTTATTGTAGTCCTGTGGTAGTAGTTGGTGTTGTTAGCCCACACTGAGAACTCGGTAGCTGTCGGTCTTGTGGAAATTTTTAAAGTCAATGTTTTAATATATGACACAGCAAACATATATAGCATGATTTATACAGATATTAATTGTGCAATATGGAAGCTACAAATGTATTCAGTAGATAAAGTGTGTTTAATTTCCTCTAAAACAGAATGAAAAATGCATTGGGCTATTTGAAAAACTTACAAGAAAATGCAAATGTAACATATCCAAAATTTGGAAGAAAGAATAGCAAATCCATGTCCCAAATTGGATATTTCGCCATGGGTTTGATTCTTTTCTAATAGTGGTAGAAAGCATATGCATCCGAAAGCAAATTGTACATCAGCAATGGACCAATCGATATATACTGCAATTGCTACTCGTAACTAAGAATGGACTCACTGTGTTGGAATACAACATCAAATTGTCTTTTCTTGGATGTAATAGTGCCACCATTCATGTAGACTTAAAATGGTGAAGTACTTTTGATGTACACCGCAGCTAAAAGTAAGCACTACTTCCTCCGCAAATATCCACATTACTGACCGCTCTGAATAAACATACCACAGCTAGTTGTGTGGAGGTGTTTTTCTTATTTTTTTACAGTCAAGTGTCATGTATAAATAGAAGCTTGTGGCCATGTCAGAAAGCCTCCAAATCACACTCTTTAAGAAATTCACAGAGTTTCTGCTCCAATCATATCAATAAAACTATCCATGTGAGTGGAAACTAATTCCATATTTTGTACTCATGGAAGGGACTTTACTCCCCTCCCATTAAGGCTTAATAAACTTTCTTAATGAGCTGTGCAGAAATCATGAGAACAGAGAGACAAAAAGCTTCTCAGATGCTTGATGTGTGGGATATAGTTTCAGCAAACTTCATAGAATGGTGTGTCACAAAAACACAAAATGCTGGAAAATGTTCAGCAGGTCTGGCAGCATTTACGAAGACAGAGAGAGAGAGAGACAGACAGAGTTAATGTTTCAGATCAATTGCGCTTCATCAGAACTGATCATCCTACAACATTAACTCGCTCAGTGCCAGAGAACAGAGAAACGTTCTGATGAAGTGCCTGAAACATTAACTCTGTCTCTCTCTCCACAGCCCTGCTGAGCATTTCGAGCATTTTCTTTTTACTTTAATTTTGGATTTCCAGCATTCACAGATCTCTGCTTGTCTGAAATCACTAATAATGGTCTGCCCTATTGGAGTGTAACTCCAAAAAACTTTAGTGAATGAATGACTCATCATCTTCTCCCATTTTACCTTTCCCTTCCCACTTTATTCATTCACGGGATGAGGGCATCGCTGGCCAGGCAGCATTTATTACCTATCCCCTAATTACCCAGAGGGCAGTTAAGAGTCAGCCACATTGCTGTGGGTCTGGAGTCACATGTAGGCCAGACCAGATAAGGATGGCAGTTTCCTTCCCTAAAAGGCATTAGTGAACCAAATAGGTTTTTCCTGGCAGTTGATTCATGGCCATCATTAAACTCTTAATTCCAGATATTTATATTGGATTCAAATTCCACCATCTGCTGTGGCAGGATTTGAACCCGGGTCCCCAGAGCATTACCTGGGTCTCTGTCCAGCGATAATACCACTAGGCCATCACCTCCCCACTGCAGGTGGTCACAGCACTGGTTAATCACCCTTCAGCAGTTGCTTCCAGTTAGCCAGCCATTCCTCTTCCAATCCAGTTCTATTTGAATCTTTAATGTCTGGCTCGAGGCCTTTCTCTTCTCCTCCTTTCTGGAGACCCATCTCCATCTCTCACCGCACCATATCACCACCTCTCTCCCACCGTTCTCTCTCTCTCTCAGTGCCCGTACAATTTCACTCTCTTCTGGGCTGCTGTCTTCAATGTTCCCACAATCTTCCTCATTATTTCACATATCCGTCTTACCATCCATGCCCCATTGGTGACCAGTTATTGTTCCTTCTTTCTTGATGTTGCCCAGGTTTTTTCACTACATGCTGAGCCTGGCTTGTAGATAATTACATTCAGTTTCACCAATATATTTCTATCACACAATAGCCCCGCAGTTGCTCCAGCCAGAGCTAATTCATTGATTAATTTCCATTTCCTTGCTTCGGTGTTCTGTCACCACTGACCCAAGTACTAGAAACTGCTCACTTTCTCCAAGTCTTCATCTTTGTATCTTCACTCTTATCCTTTTCTCTAGGTTCAAAGATGAATAGGGTCTATTGTATAAAACTGGTCTTCTTACCTCTGGCTTCTGGTGTGTTGTTCCACTTCACTAGATAGCCCACCATGTTCTCATCATCCCACCGCATATGTCACTAACATCTGCAAGCACTGTACAATGAGGTGCTGTTGGGGTTGAGCTTCAGTGAGCATCAGACACTGTCTATTCAACAGGAGGTCCACCTGATTAAAAACAGTTTAACCCTGTTTCTCTACATTTCTGAATATCGGGGACTGAAGAGATCAAGGTTGGGACTCCTGAGATGAGTGTCACACTTTCTGACTCCCCAAAAGATGTCCACAATCCACTAAACCACAAGCCAAGAGTTGTGATGGTATCTTCCCCACTTGCCTGAATGAGTGCAAAAAGCTGGACACCATCCAGAACAAAAGAGACCATCCCTCTCTCTCAACTGCCAACTACAAGGATGCACTGCAGAAGCAAAGACAGCACCTTCCACACCCACAACATCTACCACCAACAAGGACAAGGGCAGCAGATGCAGGGGAAAACCAACACTTTGCAGGTTCCCTTCCAAGCCACATACCACCTTGACTGGGAACCCAGATCCATTGTTCATTCGGTGTCGTTGGGTCAGCACTGGGGAGCTCTCTCCCTCATAGCACTGTGGGTGCAACCACACCTCAAGTAATTCAAGACGACAGCTAATCCTCATCTTCTCCAGGGTATTTAGGGACACTAGGAGAGGCCATGAGGAAATTTAATTTTTTTTTTGTATTTCACGTATGTTGTAATATATTCAGGAAGCTGTCATTTTCTGTGTGTAATGTAATGGGTACATGTTTACAAACCTGTCTGTCTGTTTCTCTAGGGGCTGATTGGAAACCATGGAGAACCAGGATTGAAAGGTGATAAGGTGATCTGAATACCTCTTTATTGCACTGTGATGTGATGTTCAAACTTCCTTCCAGCACTTGAGTTTAATATTCCCTTATTGCACTGTGATATAATGCTAAAGTTTGCATTGCACTGCTTCTAATATTGTCTGGCTCAATATTCATTTCCTGCACTGAATTTTTCTTATCCTTCCTTATAGCAGAGTATATTGCACTCCGTTAAAAATAGCTCATCCCACCACTTTGGCTAATATTAATTCTTTCTCAAGCATGTAGGTTAATCCATCATCACTATCTGTTGTTAATTATATGTTAATTATTCTGCTCAGAAACACAGGGCTATTTTTAATAAAGTGCTGAGGGGACATACAAAGAGACACAGCTAGGTTACTGGTCGGTGGTTGCCGAGCAGCCACACTGATGCCACGTTTTGTGAATAAACCTGTTATTGGGGAAAGAATTAGTGTCTGGTTTCATTAGGAACTTGGCACAGGATAGGCCATTCGACCCATCGAACCTGTTCCACCATATAGTACGATCCTGGCTGATTAAAAGCTCTAAAGCCTTTTACCCACACTATACCCATGATCTTCATCCTTCACTGACTGGTTTTGAACGGGAACTGTGATTTAACATTAATATTTTGAAGCACTCAATGAAAAGGAACAACCCCTCTGTGGTGTTATGCGGTTTTAATATTTGGCAGCATGAATTAACTCTCCGTAATACCCATGATTAAAGTTTCCATCCATTCTTATTGTTCCTGTTTGTGTTCCTCTCATCACAGAACACTCCTGTCCCAGACAAGCAATTTACTGATCCCACTCTTTTCTCTCATCCATAGAAGGGTGGGTGGGTGTGTGAGTGTGTGTGTGAGAGTTTGTGTGAGTGTGTGTTTGTGTGTGTGTTTGTGTGTGGGACAGTGTGAGTGTGTGTGTGTGGGAGAGTGTGTGTGTGAGTGTGTGTGTGTGGGAGAGTGAGTGTGTGTGTGTGGGAGAGTGAGTGTGTGTGTGGGTGAGCGTGTGTGTGAGTGAATGTGTGTTTGAGTGAGAGAGTTCGTGTGTGTGTGTGTGTGTGTGGGAGAGAGTGTATGTGTGTGTGTGGGAAAGTGTGTGTGTGTGGGAGAGTGAGTGTGTGTGTGTGTGGGTGAGCGTGTGTGTGAGTGAGTGTGTTTGAGTGAGAGAGTTCGTGTGTGTGTGTGTGTGTGGGAGAGAGTGTATGTGTGTGTGTGGGAAAGTGTGTGTGTGTGGGGGAGTGTGTGTGTGTGTGGGAGAGTGTGTGTTTGGGTGAGCGTGTGTGTGAGTGAGTGTGTGTTTGAGTGAGAGAATTCGTGTGTGTGTGTGTGTGTGTGTGGGAGAGTGTGTGTGTGTGGGTGAGTGTGTGTGTGGGTGAGTGTGTGTGTGGGTGAGCATGTGTGTGTGGGTGAGTGTGCGTTTGAGTGAGAGAGTTTGTGTGTGTGTGTGTGGGAGAGTGTGTGTGTGTGTGTGTGGGTGAGTCTGTGTGTGTGTGTGTGTGAGAATGAGAGTTTGTGTGTGTGTGAGAATGAGAGTTTGTGTGCATGTGTGAGTGTGTGAGTGTGCATGTGTGAGTGTTTGTGTCTGTGAGTGTGTGTGTGAGTGAGTGAGTGTGCATGTGTGAATGAATGTGTGTGAGAGAGAGAATAGAAGGATTATTGCATAGAGAGCCATACACTATCTTATTGGGACATTGCCTGGTTACAAGAGGTGGGTGAGTCTGTATAATAGATGATGGGACCATGCCACCAACACTGGCCTATGACCCACCAGCTGGTCTGTATGGATGCATTTTGTTGCAGTGGGAACGTATTGATTCATGGTTGTGTTACAGCTATTTGTAAAGGAGGTTTACAGGGTGGGGGTGATTCGGATGGTGCATGACCCCACCCTCTACCTTACCCCACTTTTTAAATACCCTCACTGCAGCCTGCCACTGGGCCAGGGGAGCCTCCGCCTGTGCCGCCACTGGCCTGCATGATTTGTCCCAGCACCCCGTAACTCCACACCGAGTGGTGATTCCAAGTGAAGTTAATCATTCTCAAACAGTCTTTTCCCTTTCTCCATTCGGTAAAGTACTCAACCCCTGCTCACCTCTGGCCACTTCTGGGAGCTCAGTCTGTAGGAAATAAGGAGAAAGTCACAAGCTGCTTCTTTGTGGCACAGCATGTTCGACCGTCAATAAATTGTGCCAACCTTGAAGCTGTTGGGTATCTGCTATTTGGCACTGAGGCCTAGCCTGATTCTATACACAGTTTGCACATACATTCTGTTATATCACTGAGTAAGCAAAACTAATCTCGCTTTATCCTAACAATTGTTCCTCGCCACACTTATTCCATTTCTTGCTTCTTTAATGTGACTGTTTATTGTGCTTTATACAATATTCCTTTTCCAAGGTAAGCATGTGTCTCTGAATTAATATCTTCTTGGGTAAAGGAATGAGTGCTGCTATTTTGATTTAATAAATCAATGTTGCATTAGTTACCATGAAACTGTACATAAAAATCACCACATTTTCTGTTACATCATTGCAGCACAATGAAAGATGCTATTAGGGCTGCATAACTCAAGATTCTGCAAACAGTACAGCTGTTCGGAAAATACTCCTCACATGTTATTCTGATAATAATTTGCTGTCTTCCACCGTAAACATGTCTTTTATAAATACATTGTGTTCCGCAAGCATCTTGTTTCTTTGCAAAATGCAGCATAACTCTCATAGCAATCCTGTAGGCAAAGAAACATTAATGAGTGAGCAGAATATTATATAAAGATTCTGCACAGTATTTGTTTTGGTTAATATGTGTTCTTAGCTTGGCTAAAAATATTTAAACCCTTGCACTTTCACGATTATATCATTTCTCAGCTTGAGGTTATAAATTATTATTGGTTATAAGGTATCATTCTTATTGATTTCATTCTTATATCCTTGTGTTTTGCAAGATTTATCAGCTTATATTTAGCAAAAATTTTGTGTTTCTATTTAAAGCTAAGATTAATTTGGAATTAGCAACTTTGTTTAATGAATATCAAATTGACAGATTTATGAGCCAAACCAAATCAGCTACTGGTGTGATTTGAACCAACAACCCCAGACTCTTGGTCAGGGTCATATTGGATTATAAGGCTAGTGTCATTACAACTGTACCATCATTTCTCCCCATGCAGGATCATGCAGAACACAAGCTAATGGAAATCAGCCTTTTCTTCCTTTCCTTTTCACTTTCTTCTTCCCTGCACCATCCTTCAGGAATTTGGACACAAAACACAATGCAGCTTGATGCATAGGAGCACACAAACATAATTAGAAGCAGGAGGAAACAATTCACCCCCTTGAACCTATTCCATGATTCTCTAAGCTCATGGCTGATCGGTTTTCCTTCAATTTCCAGCCTATCCCAACCATCTTCCAACTCCTTGCTTGTCAAGAATCTATCAACCTCTGCCTCAAAAATGTTTAAAGCCTCTGCTACCAGCGGGAGAGAGTTCCAAAGACTCACAATCCTTTTTGAGACACCATTTCTCCCCTCATTTCCATCTTAAATGGATGCCCACTTCATTTCAGGAAAGGATTCCTGAGTTCTCGATTCTTCCATGAGAAGAAACATTCTTTTCCACCTGCACCCTACCCCTGGACTCCTTAAGGTCTTGTAGGTTTCAATCAAGCCAGCCCTTATTCTTGTAAACAAGCCTATATAAGTTCTGTGCAAAATGTGTATTTTCTTTGACCTAATCTAGAACACTGGTTGTTTGAGAACTGAGAGTGTATAATTATAGTTCAAGTGTCTAATGTTTCCTGGAAATCATTCACAGAAACTGCCCCGTTTCCACCAAAGATCTCCCTGTTTCTACAGTCGAATACTAACACACAGGCCAAATTTTGTGCACGCCAAGTGTAGTGAAAGATGACAAATTCCTGACAGGTGATTTGCTGTGGAGTGTCATTCTGTCTGGATGTCTCACGTGACCACTCCTGAACTTTGGAGAATTGTCCAGCTGTCCCCGTTCCCACCACCCAGTCAGTGTTGCCAGTTCACTCAGTCACTTGTGTCCTGCTGTGGCAGGGTTTATGGGAAGCTGAGAGAACTGTAGGTGAAACAGACATAAAGAATAAAATGTAAAGTAATTGCGTAGAGTCCAAGACTGGAGGAGGGTCATACAGTCACAGAGATGTACAGCATGGAAACAGACCCTTCAGTCCAACTCATCCACACCGACCAGATATCCTAAACTGATCTACTCCCATTTGCCAGCATTTGGCCCATATCCCTCTAAACCCTTCCTCTTCATATACCCATCCAGATGCCTTTTAAATGCTGTAATTGTACCAGCCTTCACCACTTCCTCTGGCAGCTCGTTCCATACACGCACCACCCTCTGCGTGAAAAAGTTGCCCCTTAGGTTCCTTTTAAATCTTTCCCCTCTCACCTTAAACCTATGCCCCTCTAGTTTTGCACTCCCCTACCCTCGGGAAAAGACCTTGGCCAATCACCCTGTCCGTGTCCCTCATGACTCTATAGGGCTTTGATGGGAAGGGTATAATATGGAGGTTGGATGAGATTGTGTAAATGAGGGCACAGGAGGTACTGTACAAACACATGCTGATTATGAGAAGATGGTTCCCTGCTGTAGTGATGTTTTGATCAAAATGCAATCCCACATTTGCTATATTTAAGGTAATGTTTGACCTGACACTCAAAAAAAGACCCTGCAACATTTACCAACCTGTGACCTGAACCCAACCATGTTTAAGGGTGATAATTGATTGGGGCTTTACTTGTCTTCATTGCCAGCTTGTGAATCAGGCTACTTTACTTTCTCAGTACACCACTCCCCTCCCAAAAAAAAACCCCAGCACCCTCAACCTCAAGTCCGTCTCTGAGGGCCTGAGAAAATTCAGCCCAAACTTGCTTAAAAAAAGATATAATTTGGGCGATTGAAGATTTTCTTGTCGAGGATCTATTCTTCCTGAAGTTTTCAAGAAAGGATTGAAAGAAGACCATTAACAACATAAGTAGAAGACAAACGAGCCACTCACTTTCATCTCAAGTTCCATTCAGATTCATCAGCTTTCTTTAGCTTTCAACATGAACATGTGGTGGATAATTAAGTAGGAATTTAATGCTTCGTGCCCTTTCCCTCGTCCATCCCTGAGCTACAATTACATGCTTCAAATGCACTAGTTTCCCAATTGGATTTATGGATTGCGTGTGGAGAAAATGTGAGGGGAAGTTGTGTTTGGCTTAGCGTTGCCTAGTGATATTATCGCTAGAGACCCAGCTAGTATCCTGGGCAACCCAGGTTCAAATCCCACCATGGCAGATGGCAAAGGTTCAATTCAAAAGAAAATCTGGAATTAAGACTTTAGTGATGACCATGAATCTATTGTCAAATGTCAGGAAAAACCCATCTGGTTCACTAATGCCCTTTAGGGAAGGAAGCTGCCATCCTTACCTGGTGTGGCCTCCAAGTGACTCCAGGCCCACAGCCATGTGGTTGGCTCTTAACTGCCCTCTGGGCAATTAGGGATGGGCAATAAGCGCTGGGCCTAGCCAGAGATGCCCACATCCCATGAACAATTGAAAAAGCCAGGATGACTTCCATTCTATAAGTTAATTGATGTGGTAAGATCCGTTCCAGGATTTTCCCAGTTACCATCTGAAGGACTTATGGATTAAGAAACTGAAAAGAGACTGCATGAGGGAAATATCAAACAAACTACCACACATTTATTAACAATAATTGCCACTTAAAATAACCCAAGACAGTTGTAAGGTAAAACTTCCTTTTGGATTGCCTTGCATGTTGCAGGTAAGGTTAAAATATGTTTGATTGCATCCTTGTATGGTTTTTATCAGTAAGAAATGTTGAACTTTTACCGGTTGATACTGATCAGGTTAAAGTGATGAGAAGGTATTCCAAACTTTTCATCCCAGACTTGAATATTTCACCGGCCAAGATCAGTGACTGCAGAGCCATTTTTTAATGCAGAACTCGTATGTTTCTGAAAATGGGCACATTTCACCTTGCCTTAACCAGAAAACTCACAAGAATACCAATGTTAAGGTATTTCAAAAAGATAACAGATTATAATATCATGTATTATTGATTATGAACACGACCAATCAGAATCCACGTGCCAACCAATCAGCACTCCCCTCTTATGCAGCTTAAATGTTGAGTTTCCCCTTGAATCTGTATTCTTGCAAAATGTCCTGACAAGCACAAGGCAAGAAGCTCTGACAAAATCTGTCTATTTTCAGCAACACACGTTGAAAACTGTTTTACTGACTGCGTTGTTGGTTCTTAATGACTTAATTTCTGCACAATGCTACAATGGTGTAAAAGATTGCAAGGCAATATTTTGATTTTGGTGGAAGCACATAGCCTTAGTGTGGCATTACAACACTTTAATGCTTTGGAGTTTTGCTTCATCGATAGTGATTAGGCAGTGCCCCAAAGACTGTCCTGTTATTTTGTGCCCATGTTTAGCAGCAATGCAGTAACCTTGATATTTTAACCGTGGGTCTGCAGCCACTGAACAGTACTGTAATGCTATGCTGTTATTCTCCATATAGAGTTGTGAGGCTGTATGCTTATCTGAGACCGATGTGATGGCATAATATGGTACTATTGGTTTGTACAGTGTGCTTAGAATTGCAAGTCAATGGTCTATTTGGGCTATCTTGTCCATTGCGTTGAAATTGATGAGACAATGTTACAGATCTGTGTGCTGTTCTGCGGTGTGTTTAAAGAATGAGGCAATGCTCTAACACTATACTGTCTTGCACTGTGAGTTTAGGGTGATGAGGGCATTCCAGGAATACCAGGAGAACCGGGTTTCCCTGGCGATAAGGTAAGTTTCTTAATAGTCCAAGTGTGAACTTTTAAAAATTCGACCTACTTATTTTCCAGTTTTTAACCTGGTATTTAAATGAAAATATTGATTTCTGCTGAAGCCTCCTGGTGGGTTTTAATGTCATCTCCTTCTTGACTAGTCCCTACTTCTCATTTTTAAGCCCTGTCACATGCAAACAAGCACAGTTGCAATTTTCTTGTTATTTTTAGTAATATTTAATTGAAGATGCAGGAAAGGGAAGCAGAAGCAAATGATTTTTTCACACTTTTACAGCCACTTAAGTTTCTGAATTTTTTTCCTTTAATACTTAGTTGTGATCTTGACAGATGTTGTCACAGAGATGTACAGCACAGAAACAAACCCTTCGGTCCAACTCGTCCGTGCTGACCAGATATCCTAAATTAATCTAGTCCCATTTGCCAGCATTTGGCCCATATCCCTCTAAACCCTTCCTATTCATATCCCCATCCTGATACCTTTTAAATGCTGTAATTGTACCAGCCTCCACCACTTCCTCTGGCAGCTCGTTCCATACACACCCTCTGTGTGAAAAAGTTGCGCCCTAGGTCTCTTTCAAATCTTGCCCCTCTCACCTTAAACCTAAGCTCTCTAGTTTTGGACTCCCCCACCCTGGGGAAAAGACATTTGCTATTTACCCTATCCATGCCCCACCTGATTTTATAAACCTGTCTAACCCCTCAGCCTCCGACACTCCAGGGAAAATAGCCCCAGCCTATTCAGCCTCTCCCTATAACTCAAACCCTCCAGCCCTGGAGTATATTCTGTTTCTGCATTCCATCAGTGTTAGATCTTTTGAAACTGAATCACTGGACAACAAATTACATTCAGTCTATTCCCAAACTGGGGACAGCATGGTGGCTCAGTGGTTAACGCTGCTGCCTGATAGGGACCCAGGTTCAATTCCTCCCTCAGGCAACAGTCTGTATGGAGTTTGCACATTCTCCCCATTTTGTGTGAGGTTTCCTTCCATAGCCCAACAATGTGCAGGTTAGGTATATTGGCCATGCTAAATTGTCCATAGTGTCCAGGGATGTGTAGGTCAGGTGGATTAGCCATGGGAAATGCAGGGATGGGGTAGGGGTGGCTGGGTGGTTCTAGAATGCTCTTCAGAGAGTCTACATGAACTTGTTGGGTCAGATGGCCTGTTTCCATGCTGTAGGGGTTCTATGAAAACATTTAACTTTTGTTAAAAGCTTTTAAATCAACATGAAAATGGAGCAAACTGTACTGTTGAGAAATGGTGAGGTTCCCTCCTGATGCATTATTGCAATAACCTGAGAAAGGCAGGGTACGTTTACAATAGCTAGCTGACATCACGACATGTGATACTCCAATATGAAAAATCTCCAACATATTCTCAGTCAGTTCAGTTTATTCATCAGTTATGTATACAATATAATGGTCACATAAGTATGCATAGAACCGAAAGTATACATTAGTCTAAGATGTCCTATCAGTGTACATAGTTAGTGTTATTAATAAATATCAAGACATCTGTCTAACAAGAACCCAGTCTTGGTGGTATGTGTTACAAGGGCTAACATGTAGGGTAACGTGCAGGCAATTATCACAGTGACAGTGGTGTTTTACCCGAAGAAAACCAGATCATATCAACCCCATCAATAGAAAGTTGCTGCTCATACCTCAGAAGCTATGAACAATCAAGGAAAGGCCTTCATGAAGAGAAAAAAGGAGAAGAGGAACGTTGGCATGAAGGAGGCCAGTTTGCACTCTGAGCCTGCCCAGTACAAGCATGGGCATAATCAGTTAGCTCAGTTGGCTGGATGGTTGGGGGTTTGTGACGTTAGTAGGTTGCACACCCTCTGCAATCACCATGAAGGTTCTGCCTTCACAACCTTTTCCCTTCACCTGAGGCATGGTAACCCTGTAATTAAACTCAACACCAGCAGGCCTCTCTCTAATGAGAGAGCAGCCCTCAGGGACTAGTTTAACTTTACCTTTTGTCAGTTTATGCTGCGTACATGTGCATTTTGTCCATATCTCTTAATGCCTACAACTTTAATCCTTTATTCTTTGCTTTACAATTAACAATCAATTGAGCACCAATTCATTTATTCTGAAAAATTATTCCAAGTTTCCACTACACTTTGCGTTTCCTAACTTCACTCTCGAAGTGTCTGACTCAAATGTTTAGCCTATGCCCCTTTGTCTGAGACTCCTCAATTCACAGAACCCATTCCACTTGACATTTTGAAAACTTCAGTCAGATCACTCCTTAACCATCTAAATTCCAGGCGAAATTGTGTCATGTCCCTTTGTAATTTAACCCTTGGGGTCCAGGTATCAATCTGATACATACATGCCTTTAACGTGCAGTAAGATTAGTGCACCTCAAAGAGCCGCTGACTGCAGTATCTTAGCCAATCGTTAAAGCCCGAGCCACCAACGATTTGAAATAGGCAAGGTAACTTACACGAGAAATTTGCGTTTGATGGGGTAGATTTTGACTTTGCACCGCAGTCTGAAGTTATTGAAAGGGGATCGTCAGGACGTTTTATGCCCTGAATAGATTGCCAAATTGTCATGGCCTGTCTTGTACAGGCTATACCTCCATCAGCCAGCAGCTTTGGGCCAGGCCTTTGTCAGAGAAGAGAAACTGATAGAGCGGGGACGGGGGAATCAGTCACAATTTACGACACAGCCCCCTGAGCTCCTGGCCCGTGACAGCCCCCGATAGTGAGACCGATGCCCAGCTTGTTCCCTGTTGCTGCTGAGAAACGACAACTTCAAGGAGGCTGTTTGGAAATAAGCAGCACCTCCAGTGGTTTTCTGTGAAAGACAGGGAGCAGGGGATCTAAGTAACCAGGGTGGCTCAGTGGTTAGCACTGCTGCCTCACAGCACCAGGGACCCGCGTTCGATTCTACCCTCGGGCAACTGTCTGTGTGGAGTTTGCATATTCTCCCTGTGTCTGTGTGGGTTTCCCTCTGGGTGCTCCGGTTTCCTCCCACAGTCCAAAGATGTGCAGCTTAGGAGAATTGACCAGGCTAAATTGTCCCATAGTGTTTGGGTTAGAAGTGGGAATGGGAATGGGTCTGGGTGGGATGCTCTTCAGAGGGGTGATGTGCACTTATTGGGCTGAATGGCCTGTTCCCACTCTGTAGGGATTCTGTGATTACTGCAGTTCTGGAAGTGTTGGAGAAACTCAGCAGGTTTCTGTAGAGAGAGAGGAACCAGAGTTAAGGTTAATATGACTCTTGCTGAGAACATACTGCAATATATTCTGTGTAGGTTGCACACACAGCAGCCCCCACAGGGAGGATTTGGAGTTCAGTGGCTGAAAGTTCACAAGCATCTAGATGAGTCATATATAGTTGTATCCTGGCTTGGGCTTTTTAGTTTGTGGAAAGAGTTTGAGGGAATCAGGAGATGAGTCACTCATTGTGGAATTTTTCTTCTTCATTCAGGGGACGTGGGTGTCCCTGGCTAGGTCAGCATTTATTGCCCATCCCTAATTGCCCAGAGAGAAACCATATTGCTGTGGGACTGGAGTCACATGTACGTATCTCCTCCCCTTAGTATCCTCTCTTCAGCTGTTGTGGCCACAAGGCTGATTAGATTTATTGTCATGTACCGAAATATAGTGAAAAGTATTGTTTTGTGTGCTATGCGCAAAGAGCCACCACTTTCCGACGCCATATTGGATTTCTGTTTAAATTTGATTTTGATTTTAATTTTATTGTACCGAAATACGGTGAAAAGCTTTGTTTATGAGCAGTACAGGCAGATCACAGCAAGCAAAGGATATACAGATCAAAAAAACGTAGAGGCATACAGGTTACATTGCAGGTTACATTATTTGAGGGTAGAGTCCGTTCAACAGTCTGATAATGCCAGAAAGAAGCTGTTCCTGAACCTGCTGGTGCATGTGTCCTGGGTCTGTAAGTCCAGTATTGCCAGTATTCAGGCCTGGATGACCATCTCGAGACCTGTAATTCGACTCTGTCCATTTGATGTTTGGCGAATGGTTCAGTTCTCACTCACCTACTCAGACGTGATCACCTTGGCTCTCCTTCCTGCTGTTGGACATTGGCCAAGGGCCTTGGTCCCAGGCTCTCAGTCCATCTGCTGTTGCTGATCCTGCCGTGTCTGAGCAAGAGCCAGCCATGGGCCTGGGCCCAGGAGTCACTGAACCTGTGGACAGTGTTGGAAAGAAAAACTGGCTCTGAACCCACTTCAGTTTCTGCACGATGGCAAATTGCAAGAGGACAGAAAACCTGGTACAACTCGCAGTCAATAAAAAATGATCTATAAGCCCATAGAGGCAGAAATAGGCCATTCAGCCCATCAAGTCTTCTCCGCCATTCAGTGTGCTCCATTTTCCTGCCTTTTCCCTATAACCCTTGATTCCCTAACGGATTAAAAATCCACCTGTCTAGGCACCCTCTTGTTTAAGATGGTCATTATCTGAGTCTTAAGTGACACAAACTTCACTTACCACCTGGAGCTAACACGGCAGGTTCCTTTACCACAGCAGCTGGCAATGTATGGTAATGCAGCTCGAGATAGTTTGGATGATAACACACAAACTGATTCATAGGTTTCACGGGCAGTAATTTTGACCTAAATCAACGACCAGTTGTTACGGAAACAATTTTTAGATCTTTCACCTGTAAAAGTGGGCGATAAAATGCTCTGGTTTGAGATGGGTGGATTACCAGATTTCCATCATGCATCCAGCTACAACTACTCATTTATGCATCATTGATTCACAAAGCAAGCATCAAGAACCAAAAAAAAAAGATTCACCCTTTTGAATTAAAATATCACTAATGGAGTGGTTCTCGTGAGTAGCTGCCAATGCAGGCTGGTGTTTCGGTTGTGAAATCTGGAATTAAAAGTCTAACGATGACCATGAATCCATTGCTGATTGTTGGGGAAAAACCCATCTGGTTCTCTGATGTCCTTCAGGGAAGGAAACTGCCATCCTTACCTGGTCTGGCCTACATGTGACTCC